TTCCTTCCATTTATTGTTTGTTCTGTCCTTCATCGATTTGTTTGTTTGTTAATTCGTTCCTTCATTCGTTTGTTCCTTCATTCGTTCACTCATTCATTCTTTCCTTTATTTTTTTGGTTTATTCATTTATTCATTCATTCATGCATTTATTCATTTGTTCCTTAGTTTGTTCAGTCCTTCCTTGAAACTTTCCTTCATTCAGTTGGTCCTTTCTTCCTTGATTAGATCAGTCTTTCCATTCCTTGTTCGGACCTTCCTTCCTTCTGCCCTTCTTTCCATTCTTCATTCGTTCCATTTAGTCATTGTTTAAGGTTGTTTGGTGGGTTCAGTCATCATACAGTCAACATACTTCATTTTCTCATCAGCCACATGCAGTCTATAATTAGAGTAGAAGTATAAAATACTAAGTAAGTATAGTAAAAAATAACCCTTTTAAAAGTATTTAAGAGTATAAGAGTAGTGAGTATTACACTGTGAAAACTTGATGCTTTTACATGCAGTTTGTGCAGGGATGTGTAAACGTAACATTCTGTAGTGCATTTAGTGCCTATTTGCCTTCTTATATTCATTCGTTCCATCCTTCCTTCATTGATTGTTTGTTCTGTGCTTTATTCATTCGTTTGTTTGTTAATTTGTTCCTTCATTCATTCACTCATTCATTCTGTCCTTCATTCTTTTGTTCCTTTCTTTATTTGGTTCTTTCTTCATTTATTCATTCATTGAAAAGTTCATGTGTTTAAGTGCAGTTTGTGCAGGGATGTGTAAACATTACATTTTGTAGTGCATTTTGTATTTAGTGCATCTTCCTATATTTGTTTGTTCATTCGTTTCTTTATTCATTTGTTCCCTCATTCTTTTGTTCCTTTCTTCATTTGGTTCTTTGTTCAGTTATTCATTCATTCATTCATTCGTTCCTTAGTTCGTTCAGTCCTTCCTTGAATTCAGTCGGTCTTTCCTTCCTTCATTATTTCAGTCCTTCCATCCCTTGCTTGGCCCTTCCTTTCTTCTACCCTTCTTTCCATTTTTCATTCGTTCCATTTGGGGATTGTTTAAAGGGCCATGAAACCCCCTGTTTCAGCAGGGTGTTTTCACACCTCTAGTTTGGAAAAAGTCAGGAAAGTGGGTGTGTCTATCTTCGTTTAGGTGGGAGTGTCGGGGGAGGGAAAGACTTGGATTTGGATAAAAATGGGAGTTTCCATTTAGGCACGCGATGATTTTCAAAAAAACACAGACGCAGAGGAGAAAAACAGTGACTGTGTTTAATGACTGACTGTGGAATGTTTGATACCGCACATTGTTTAAGAAAAAAACCTCCACATTTCTCTGTAACTTAGAAGCACTCGGTAGGTACCGTCAAAAAGCCGTGTGAGTATAGACAATTCTGCAGCAGAACTGTAGTCCACACTTGAGTCCAGCTGCACTCTCATTGTTGGAAAAAGAAAGCAAAACCTTTGTTGCAGCACTTTAAAAATGCAACACTGTCGACCAGTGTCTCCAAACAGTTCTGGTTTTTCCTTCACTTGTTTCTGCAACACAACGTGGCGTCTCTGCCGTCTGAACACTGTATCATGTAAAAAATGTCTTCGAAGCTATCATGCATATTAATGAAGTTGCACAATATAGCGCGCTGATTGGTTTGAACCAAGTCCTACTCATGAATAAATCCAGCTTGCTCAGAGAGGTCACGATGTAGCCAGTCTACACGCTGGAATATGCAAGGATCTAATCACCGTCACGCAGCTTCATGAATTCGTTTCAAACCGGAAGAACGAATTTGCTCGAAATAACGCAAAAACAACCAGTTTTTACATTTGTTGTGAAATATCGGTGTCCTCAAGTGTTTTTAGCAGCATGGGACACATGTGCGACTGTCAACAGCTCAAAAAATGTGTTTTGGTGTTTCGTGACCCTTAAAGGCTGTTTGATGGTTTCAGTCATCTTATAGTCAAAATCCTTCATTTTCTCCTCAGTGACATGCAGTCTTTAAACTTGGGTCATTGTGTGTTAAGATTTTGGATATTTTCTTGGACATTTTAAGGCTTTCAAAGGGTTTGCTGCATTTAAAAAAGCGCATGTTTATTGAGGTTGTTCAGTATGATGCAATTTAATTACATAAAATCAAATTGAAATTTTTTTTTTCTGCTTTAGCCAATAACCATGAAACAAGAAAGAAATAAAGTGATTAGGTTGAAGGAAAGAAGTGGAGTAAAAGTACCGATACAGTACTAAAAATGTACTCAAGGGAAAGTAAAAGTACTTATTTTTAAAACTAATTAGCAAAGTACAATTCCTGAAAACTCAATTACAGTAATTGGAGTATATGAACATGTTACTTTACACCACTGGTTATATACAGCACAACCCAAAGATTATCTTAGAGTAAAGAACTGCCATAAATACATTTTATGCATTTTTGTGAATGGCCAAACTCGAAAATAAGATTATTTTAAAATAAAAACAAAAAGAAATGAAAATAACTTTGAAAGTGCCATGTGTAGTTTGTTTTATTGGCGTTCATAAAAGTCAAATAAAATAAATTACTTTCACAACCAATTATCTGTGAGTTTTTCTGAATGTTATGTTAGGCTCTTGAATTTATTTAACAAATACGTTTGCATTACCGTCACGCTTTTCTGCCAGAAACTGTCTGTATAGTTTAAACCGAAGACCTCCTATTTAATCTGATGACGGGTCGTTGAAATCACTGAGGAAAACAACACAATCCACATTCAATAAAGCACAGCATCCATATCCTCGTTTAGTCATTGAGACCAGCTAGCGGTCTCTCTTTATTTCACACTTGCACACACACACACACACACACACAGCTAATACATGGTGACTCCATTTGACCGGTGGTCGGTGCGAGGCTCCGTTTATTGTGATACAGTGGAGTTATTGAGGAGTGGGCCCCATTAGGAGCAACAGCCGAGCCACTGCGCCGGGCAATTACCGAGCAAGCGAGGCCCCACCGCAGCCCCGGGCCTCCCGCGGGATCTGCCACCTCGGGCCGTTAATCAATCCGATTTAGACTGGACAGGGACACGCGCCAACACGAGACGCGCAGTGGAGAGACGCGCGTGACCTGCATTTTATTACGATTCCAGCGGAAAAAAAAGATGGATAGACGGTGCAAGGAAAGAACAGATACGGGGGAAGAGGGGGTGGGGGGGAAAAGATGAGGGGAAGACAGGGATAATTAATGAGTGGATGTGAGAAGAATTAAGCATAACTCAAGAAAATGTCGATCAATTGGAGACGCGACTGAAATACATTGGGAAATGTAGAAAGTGTGTTATGGGTGATTAAAAAAGATACTTTTAATTGATATTTTATAATATCAGACTTATTAAACTCATTCATTATGCATGGACCAATACAGAGATCATACATTAATTAACAGTTCATTTAAATTAAAGCCTTTCCTTGAAGACATTTATAGGCGTTTATTAAGGCAGATGTGTGGTTTTATTTCTGATGTTTCAAAAATAATTACATGTTATTGCTTTTTTACGCAACCTTTTTTTTATTCTGTAGTTTACCCAATTTTTGGGTAAAATACAATCCCTAAAGTTTTCAAATTTAATTTGGTTGAGTATGTTGAAACAATCCAGCAAATTTTAAAAATGTTTTTAGGCTCTGTTCTAGTTTTTTATAAAGAGCTTTACTGACATGAAATAAAAATCAGAAATTAAATATTAGAATAAATTTGGAATATGTGCATATTTCGTTTTAGTTCAACAGTTTAACAAATTTGTGTTTTGTCTGTATAAATCTTGCTGATAAATTACACACCACACACAAGCAACACCGAGATCAATAAGCTTTATTCCCTTGGAGTTTGGCTCTGTCTTGGTCTTTCATTCTCTTTGTCTGTCCTGTATATCCCTCAGCATACTTATGTTGGAGATGAAAAACCATAAGGCAAAACGACTGATTGTTAATGTGTGTGGGAAAAACAACACCTTGTTTCCATGAGATTCAATGATTTAACTGTATACTGGCATTATGAAGATCCAGATATAAAGCCAGATCAGTCTTAAAAATAATACATTTACAAAGCATGATTCATACATCCACAACACAATTCACATTAACAAAATCCAATTAAAAACACAGTTCATATGTATACAAATCCAATTCGTGAATTCAAAACATGATTCAGAAATACACAAATCCAATTTCAAAATTGAAAACATGATTCAAAGATATACAAATCCAGTTTGTAAATTCAAACCACGATTCAAAAATATACTAATCCAATTTGTTAATTCAAAACGCGATTAAAAAATACACAAATCCTATTTGTAAAATCAAAATGCAATTCAAAAAGACACAAATCCAATTTTTGTGTATTCACAAAAATACACAAATCCTATTTGTGAATTCAAAACGCAATTCAAAAATACACAAGTTCAACTCGTAAATTCAAAACACGATTAAAAAATACATAAATCCAAGTCGTAATTCAAAACGCGATTCAAAAATAGACAAATCCGATTTGTGAATTAAAATCATGATTCAAAAATACACAAATCCAATTCGTAAATTCAAATGACGATTCGAAAATACACAAATTCAAGTTGTGAATTCAACACGCGATTCAAAAATGCACAAATCCAATTGGTAAATTTAAAACACGATTCAAAATTACACAAATCTAATTTATTTGTCAAAAACATTTATTTTTACTTTCTAATCATGTGTTGTATTTATGGATTGTGTTTACAAATTAAATTGTGCTGTGCATGTATGAATTTCATTTTGTAAATGTATTATTTTTGAGACCGATCTGGCTCCATAACAGACTGTTTTGATATTGAAATGAATTCAAATTTGATTGCAAAAGCATCTTAAAAGTATAAATGCATTCCATGTCTGAGCATGTATTTCAAATGCATTTATCAGCTTGTAATTCACTGAATGCTTCTCTTTCCCTTGATGATTAAACTCTTTTACAACATTACACACCATTGTGTTTCTCTTTTCTCCTCTCTCAGGTGAGGGCCAGTGCGATCGCTCAGGACGCAGATCAGAATTATGACTACGCCTCTAACAGTGTGATCCTGCATTTAGATGTGGGGGATGAGGTCTGTGTGCAGCTCGATGGAGGAAAAGTGCACGGTGGAAACACCAACAAATACAGCACATTCAGCGGCTTTCTCATCTACCCCGACTAGCATACTGTACAAAAACACAGATACATGATCACTTATTTAATGCCAGTGAATAAGCAACATATACTAGTGAAACAACATGATATAACATCAAGAGTCATTTTAATTTTTCTTAGAGTATACTTTCAGATTTGAAAGTCAACAACACTTGATGCATTTGGCTTTATTATTTGATGCAATTCCAGTTTTTTTTTCAAAGTAAAGATACTTGATTGTATTCATTGGCAGTTGGATTGATTTGTAAAAACAAAGTTGTCTCAGGGGCATCTAAATTTTATCTAGTTCAATTCAAAACATCTGTTTTACGTTTATATGAATTTCAGATGGAGAAAAAAAGCTAAAAATGAATTAAGATAACAGACATTCATATGTATTCTCTGAAAACAAATCTTACTGATTAATTGATTAATTTGTTAACATTAATTAATTACAGATGCTCTAAGCAAAACACACTTGCAGCCAATCAGCAGTGAGGGGTGTGTTTAATGATAATAAAGATACAAAGAAGCATTGGGTTGATTGGGCTATGGGCTCAAGTAATGTTTTGTTGCTTTCAGATATAAACATAATTTGGCAAAATGGTTTTATAACAATGAACAATTTTACTGCATTCAATAATCATACTCGATGTTGATATCAACCATTTCAAAGACATTTTAACTGAATTTAATGTTACATCATATGTGTGTTACCTTTATTAACACACATAGAAGAAAATGCTGCAAAATTGTTGCTAACCCTGGGTTATTTCAACCCAATTTTGGGTGTAATAGAGACTAACCCAACCGCTGGATTAAATATTTTAGTTAAGTTACCTTAATTCAACATTGGATTAATCCACGTTTTAGCCAAATTCAGTTAAAATACCCAGCAGTTTTTATTTTAATCGCTAGTTTATGTTAAAGCATGTTAACAAATTAGACCTTGTGCCCTTAATTACTTATTACTTAATTAATGACATTATGTAAAGATTACTTACAAAATCTAATTTTGGCAGAGCAAGTTACACTGTAAAAAAAACACAATTCCTTCATGTTGTCCCAACACAGATTGATTAAGTTAACTTTAAGTGGATTGAACATAAAACAATTAAGTTTTCCCCTAAAAAATTAAGAATTGCGCTCTTTGAATTAATTTTAAATAAGTAGTTTGAACAAGCAGCTTTTTTGAGTGTGTTATATTTTGATTTGAAGATTACAAATATGTTATTTCTTTGAAATAATTTGCACTAAAGTTATTACATTAGCACTATGGATATTCATTAAAGGGCACCTATGATATACATCATCTTTTGTAAGCTGTTTGGACAGAACATTGTATAAGTAGTGTGTCCACAGTCATATTGGGGTGATATAAAGACAATAAGTCTCTTTTTTAAAATTTCCTGACGTTAGAATAAGATCCAAATCCCTGCTATTTTGAGGCCCACCACAACTTCACATAGGAGTGCGGTTTCCCCGCCCACCTAATTGACTGACAGTCCCGTATTAACATGTCTTCTCAGTAACGTGTATAATCATATCAACAAGCCAGGATGTGTGCAAAGCAACTCAGATTAAAGATCTGCTCAGTTCTCTGATCATCAATCATCATCAAATGTGATTAAGAATGAGTTTTACAAGTTTAAAATGTTTTTAAAACAGTGATTTTACCGACTTTATCCCCACAGCTGCATTTCAGTACAATTTTAAAAGAAGACGCTTCAATCCCGGTTTGTGGACGTTAAATCAGGTTTATTTTGTACATTAACATAACATATATCTATACAGCAGTGGATATTAACGTGTATCCTGTCACAAAACAGTGCAAAGTTAAGCAAAGTCGCAGAAGGGATTGAATTAACTCCACAACAAATACATCAAATAATCATTGGGACAGTTCTTACTGTAGTATTTCCCACTACGTTACGTGAGATCTGCTTCTTTCATGTCTGTCACTGTGCTGTTTATCATGGGCGGGTAGAACTAGCATAAAAGGTACAGGCAATAAAAGCAGCTTCAATGTGTTCAGAGCATAAAATTCCAATATTCTGAAAGATATAATAAGTAATCTGATGGGTGTTTTGAGCTAAAACTTTACAGACACATTCTGAAAACACAAAAGACTTAATTTAAATCTTAGAAAAGGGGTAAAATAGGTGCCCTTTGAGAAATGAAACAACTTAATCAGCTAGGATTACATATAAATTCAATTCTTGACACTAAGTACTGCTAACACCCCTGTAATGGTGTATTTATACATTTTAAGGCATTTACTTGAGCAAAACTTGAGGTGGTAAACACTTTTTTTTTAAGTTGATATTTTTATTACATAAAAAATTGTGTTATCAATGCTACAATATGCCTTTTAAAAACTTGAGTGCAAATGTACAGGGTAATCCATATCCTACTGAGAAAACCTAAGGATTAACTTGTTGCATTTAACTAGATCACCATTCTCATGTGTAAGTGTGTGCATAACTCTGAAAAAGGCTGTGTGCATTTCATGGCATGGAAACTGTGTTTTAACATTTATGTCAACTAAGTATGTACACAGTGTTTATACTGGGGGAACTTTGTGAAATTATAAATTCTAATAACTCAGTCACTCTCTGTATAATGAAACAAAGCATCCTGTAGGATCAGTTAGTGGACTAAACACTTAAAAGTGACCTGATCCATCTGTAATCTGAAAACATCCAGTTTCTGTGTGAGTGTGTGTATGTGTGTGCATGTTTCAGCAATGTGTGTGATTTACATGTGTGATCATGTCAATAAAAAGTGTATGAAAATCGCTTCTAAATATTTGCTGTTGTAAAGCCTTGCTGTTGTGTAATTAATCATTATTATAGACTTTTATTCTGGCATGTTAAGAGACTACATGCTGTAAATAAAAAATAAAATACTTACTTGTGTATCTATTTATTTTCTGAGTGTAATCCACATAAAATGATCGACTAATTGCCTTACATTTTTAATTAAAGCTAGACACAGTGGTTTATTTCGATTGAGTGCATGTATTTGTACAGCCTGAAGGCATGAAGGCCAGGAAAGCCACTTAAATAACCAACACATAATCAATACATGGCTCTTTCCATTTAAAATTGAGCCCTATACTCCTTTAAAAAGAACAGGCAAGGGAGAATTACAGTTAAAATAGATTTAATTCACTTAATAAAAAAGCCCGCAAACACTCTGTCTTTCCTTCTCACGCTGCTAATTAGTCAGGGAGCCATTGACAGTGTTGATTACTATTCACTGTGCCTCACATACACACCCCAAACCAGACACATTTCCTTGGTAATGAGGAGAAATGGATGGCTGGGCATCCTTTGAAGGACAATAGTAAAAAGGTCAACGGGATTTTGGCTTGACAGCAACAGCAACACTCTCTGAAATGATGATAACGCTGACAGAAACAAGGATAAGAGGGAGAAAGTTTTGCTGTTTGTCAATCTACTATGACACTCTCGGCTCCAATTTACAAAGCGGCATCTTCCAAAGAGACATGAACATGAAAACACGTCCATACTGATTTAAAAACGTGCAACTATCATGCAGACAAAACAACGGACATACCTATGATGGAAGGATAGATGGGTGGATGGACGGACGGACGGGTAGGTATACAGAGACAGACAGAAAGACAGACAGACAGACAGACAGACAGACAGACACACAGTCAGTTAGATAGATAGATAGATAGATAGATAGATAGATAGATAGATAGATAGATAGATAGATAGATAGATAGATAGATAGATAGATAGATAGATAGATAGATAGATAGATAGATAGATAGATAGATAGACAGATAGACAGATAGGATGGACAGACATAGACGGATGGATGGATGGATGGATGGATGGATGGATGGATGGATGGATGGATGGAAGAACAGACGGACAGACAGACAGACAAACAGATAGATAGATAGATCGATAGATAGATAGATAGATAGATAGATAGATAGATAGATAGATAGATAGATAGATAGATAGATAGATAGATAGATAGATAGATAGATAGATAGATAGATAGATAGATAGATAGATAGATAGATAGAAACACAGATAGAAGGATAGATAGACAGATAGGATGGACAGACATAGACAGACTGATGGATGGATGGATGGATGGATGGATGGATGGATGGATGGATGGATGGATGGATGGATGGATGGATGGATGGATAAATGGATGGATGCATGGATGGATGGATGGATGGATGGATGGATGGATGGATGGATGGATGGATGGAAGAACGGACGGACAGACAGACAGACAGACAGACAGACAGACAGACAGACAAACAGATAGATAGATAGATAGATAGATAGATAGATAGATAGATAGATAGATAGATAGATAGATAGATAGATAGATAGATAGATAGATAGATAGATAGATAGATAGATAGACTAAAATTTTCAATTAGTTCATATAAGATTTGAAAGTCACTCTGTACTTTAACTCTAGGCCTACATATATAATTATAAAACTAGACAGAAACATACAGATCGTCTATTTCAGGGAAAGTATTTAATGGTGAGTCTACTTGAAAAGTGAGCAGTGAACCATACCACTGCAGACTGTGTGCCTAAACACTTTAGTTTAGTCAACGGCACCACCTATTGGATACGTTTAGGTGTTACAAAGAGTGCTCTTGAATTTGAACTTGAAAAGTTTGAGATGGCCAAGTTCATCAGCATCACCGTGAGTTATATATATTTGATGCTTACTGACAAAATTGCTTCCTGCTCATTAGCTATTACTAAATATTCAAAATTACTTACCATTTGCAGGCGCGTGGTAGGCCTAAATTGATTTTTTTAGGGGAAAAAACGAGGGAAACAGTTTGAGGGAAATATGAGGTAACTCTAGAATAAGTGCCACCAAGATTAGTAAAATATGAGCACTACAACAGTCTGTTGTGGAGATGTGATTGCAATATTTTGGGGAGGGGGATGGGATACGGTGAAGTCACTGCCCACCTTTGTCAGCCATTTTGGCTCCTTTTTCTAACGCTGGAAGAGAAGCGCAAGCCTAATATTTGAGCCAGGATGGAGGCAGTTTCATAACCATCGACTATCACTTTCGATTTTTCTAGCAAAACAAATGAACGCCAGGGGGCGGTGG